GGTTTAAGCTTCGTGATTAAGCGCGAAAACGACGGCGTTTCTGGTGTTTGTTATTACGGGTTACTTACGTGGTGGAAATATTGTGTTTCTATTCTCCCCATTATGTGCCTAGCTTTGCTTCTTATTGGCCTTGCACTGGTGATAGCTTTAAAAAGAAAAGGTCCGCTTCTGGATTCGTCAAAAAAATTACTTATTGCTTCATTTTTTGTTAAAGATCTTCTGAAGTCCTTGGCTGTGAAGCATGCTTTAAACAAACTGAATAGAGCTGGGGAAGAAAAGCGTTTCAAGGCTTCTACAAGATTTGAGGTGGGTCACTTGCTTTGAGTGCTTTAACAGCAAGACGCTTTTTTCGTTTTTAAGATCAATGACGGTGATGTCTTTGCTTGTGTTGGCGGTGCAGCTAATGGGCCCATACCTATTACTGGGGATCGGGGGAGTGAAAACCATAATCTACTTCCGGAGGGTGGGGTCATATTTGTTGCATTACTGCTCTTCACTGAAATCAGTCGTTTTTTAGATTCTTTAGAAAATATATTTGTTGACGAATTCCGTAAAAGTCACTATTCACTAAGCCGACGTTTTCACTACGAACGTAATTTTGGGATTTCAGCCAAATGGACAGGTGTGTTCAGTAGTCCAGGAGAAGAAACAGGGAAGATTCTTAATCTTTACAGGGACGTCTTTCATATGTTTTATGTTGTTTTTGGTAGGATCCCCTCTTATTCACTATCATTACGTTGCCTTGCCTACTAAACACGAGGAAGCTAGCATTCTTAATTATATAACGTGAGTATTAGATAGCAATCTTTCTATAGATACTTGTAAACTGCTTTACGTATTGAAAAAGGCCAAATCATTCATTGTTTTTTTTTTGCAATTTTTAAAAATCGCATTCGCTTATTTGTTTTGCATCCTATCTAATAAAAACAGCAATGAAATGAATGCGAAGCATGTAAAAGATTGGATAGCAGCATAGCATTTTGCCCTACTTTTTATTATATTTTTATAACTGATGCTTC